AACCTTGTTAGTATGGATTAAAAATTAAATTGGGCTATTTAAAATTTTTTTCAACAACAACAACAAAAAAGACAGCATTTTATCAAGCAGTAGAGCAAGGTGAATAGTGATTCCCAGGTCACAGGAAGTAAAGAGAACTTTGGGTCAGGGTTCAGGGACGCAATATCCACCAACTTTTTTTTAAATCAATTTTTGGGTTCAAGTGTCAGGGGAGGTTCTGTTTGAGTGCAATCGTTCATATATATATAGCTTCTGAGCTTTCCATTACAGCTGCTGTCTGGAGGCGTGGCCTCAGCCATCAGCTCAGGGACAGTGATCTCCCTAGGTAGTACCTTCCTTTATGCTTCCCTGTCAGGGTGTCTCAGGTCTTCACTCAGGCTAGAGCTCTGTAAAGGTCCTCGGGCTGATCGAGTGGTTGGACTCTGGCCAGTGGTCAGGCATGCTGGGCTCTGCTCTTAAGCTGTATGGAAGTGGGTAAGGTCCTTGTCACTAAGGTGTGGAGGTGAGGCAAAACACATTGTTTTCTGCCACTCACAGCTAATGCACTGTCCCTGACCCAGGTCTGCATCCAGGAAGTCCCATGATCTTCTGGGGTCATCTCGCTCTGAACTTTGTACTTGGCTAGGAGAAATAGGCATGTACTCACGTCCTATCCATGTTCAAGGTCTCTGCACACTGGGTGAGGGAAAAGGTGGCAGGCTCAAGCCTGCAAGACTGTAGGTCAAGAAGCACTGAGTGTCAGCCCTCCCCCACTCTCTGTAAGGACATCAAAGAGGCCAGGGTCTCCAGGCTCCTTCCCATACAACAATGTGTTGGTTCCACTGGTAAGGTGAGCACTCCTTGTTTTTTTTTTTTTTTTTTTTTTTTGTGCGCGTGTTGGTCCTGAGTGAAGGACAAATACTTGTCCCCTGCTCACACTGTTGCCTGTTTCTTGCTCATGTTTTGCTGAAGATTTTTGACCCTGTACTTATGAGGTATTTCGCTCTGTCTTTTTTGTTTGAGATATTCGCAGGCATGATGGCAACCCTGGCCTTACAGGAGGGGCTGCAAAGAAGGCCTGCTTCTGTTTTCTGGAAGAGAGCAGATGATACCTACAGCCCTTTTCTTACAGTTTGGCATAGAATGTACTGGAGAACCTGACCTTGGCCTGCTATTTTTCTGTTTTGTTAATTATTAACTATATCATCCATTACATATCAGATTGTCTGTTTCTTCCTGTGTGGCTTTTATGCGTTTTTCCCAGGAATTAGTCCCTTTTATTGGCTCACAAGGCTTATTCATGGTCACACTTAAAATCCCTTTGGTGCTGCTGAGATCTGTTCTGTCATGACATTCCTCTTTCACTGCTGGTATTAATAAGTTGTCTCTTCTGTTTTTTTCTTTGATTAGTCTGGCAAGAAGCTTTTATTTTTTTAAATAAGTATTTTAAACTTTAAAGAAAATCTTATTTTATGTGCATTGTTGCCAGATTCCCTGGAACTGGAGTTAGAGGCAGTTGTGAGTGCCATGTGGGTGCTGGGAATTGAACTCAGGACCTGGAAGAGCAGCCAGTGCTCCTGACCACTGAGCCATCTCTCCAGTCCCTACAAGGAACTTTTTTTATTAACCACTTTTGCTAATCTTTTCCAAGAACCAGCTTTGGCTTTGTTGATTTTCTTTTCTGATTTCTTATTTTGAGTCTGATTTCTGCTCTAATTTTTATTCTTTTCATTTGCATATTTTGGATTGATTCTTTAGATCAAATTGGGATATACTGAACAAGTTGGTCTTACAATTTGATTTTCATTTTATAGCTTCCTGCGGTGGCAGGACATTGATTTTGGATCTTTCATTTTTTGCTAATCTATCCATTCCCGTGCTGTTCATTTCCCTCTAAACACTGCTCTTATGTCTCATATGTTCTGATGCAGTATATTTCCATTTTCATTTAACTACAAGTGTTTTAAAATTACCCTAGAAAATTATTCTTTCATATATAGTTAATGTAGAACTGTGTATTCAATCTAAGCATTTATGGATTTCCAAGCTGTCTTTTTGTTACCAGTTTAATTTTTCTGTTTCTTGAGAGAGCTGCATGGTTTCCATGTTTAATTAGTTAAGCGTGTTTGTGGCCAATATGTGCAGACCGCTGCTTGAGCTAGAAGAGAATGCATTTGTGCCATTGTGGGATGAGTAGTCTGTGTCACTGGATCCCTTTGGTTATTGGTTCTGGTGTGTTCCGTTTTGCTAATGTCACACCTGCTGGGTGTGCCCATTTCTTAAAGAACTATATTGAAGTCTGCAACTATAATAATGGACGCATCTGTTTCTTGGAATTCTATTACTATATATTTTTGAGACAAGGTCTATGTACAACAGACTAGCTTTGAACTCAAAGATCTGTGTGCCTCTGCCTCCTGAGTGCTGTGATTAAAGCTATGCATTACTATGCCTGGCTTTGTATTTTGTCTTAGGTAGTTTGTGATTGTTGCTAGGTACACACATTATTTTCTTGGTGAGCTGACCCCTTTGACACCATGTGATATCCTCTTTCTCTCCTGATGCTTCTCCTTGCCTTGAAATCTGCTCTGTCTGATGACTGTAGTGGGATAGGCTTTCTTCTGATTATTGTTGGCACAGTAGTATTTCCCTTCACCCCTTTACTTTCATCCACGTGTCTATATCTAAAGTAGTTTTCTTTTTTAAAAGTTTATTTCTTATGTGCATGTGCCCAAGTGTATGTTTGGTACCATATGCATGCCCCACAGAGTCAAAAGAGTGCAATCAGATAATTTGGAATAGGAATTATAGGAGGTTGGGAGTAGCCTTGTGGCTTCTGGGGATTGAACCCAGGTCCTCTGCAAGAACAATAAGTGCTCTTATCTGCTGAGCTGTCTCTCCAGCCTCCTAAAGCAGACGCTTGCAGATAACATGTCCTTTGGTCTGAGATTCCCTGTATTTTGATTATTATATTGAGACCACTAATATTTGGGGGGGTGCTGACAGAGGGTCAATGTCTTCCATGCCTGCTCATGTTTAATCACTTGTTTTGTCTTCAACTCATTGTCTGCCAATTTGTGGTTTTAAGTATTTTATATAACATCACTTTCTCTCTTTTCCTAATGTCTATCCTAATATTCACAGCATCCATCTACAACTGCTCCAAGTCTACTTTCAATAACTGTACTGCCTCATGAGCAGCAAAGCTTCCCAGACTGCACAATAACAAAACATTCCTAGTTCCTTCTCTACCTTGGGTCTGTACTGGGCATTTCACTCACAAAAGCTGGATGTGATGCAAACTGTTATCTATTAGGCAAGAAAAAGTAAGAGGAATAAAGGATTTTTTCCATTTTAACTTATCCTTTCTTTTGTGCTTTTTCTTTCTTTACATAAATCCACATTTTTGGTCTTATTCCCGTCTCTCCAAAGAACTTCATTTATTTCTTGCAAGCCCAATTGAGTTTTGTCTGAGATTCTTCAATCTCAAGGGTAATTTTGCAAAATGCAATGAAAGGTAGGCAGCTTTCTCTCCTCACCTCAGTATTTCACCCTTTTCTTCTTCCTGTTGTTCTTTTTGAGACAGGCTTTCACTGTCTAGCTCGGGCTGGCTGTAAACTGATTCTTCTGCCTCAGCCTCCCGATTACAGGTGTGCATCAACATGCCTGGCTCCGATGTGATTTTTCTTTTTCTGTTTGTATTTATTCTGCTTGTGCTCTTTGAGTCTTTTGGAGCTGTGCTTTTGTGTCTGACAGGAATTTTGGAAAATTCAGTCATTGTTGTTTGTGTTTGCCCCCCCGCTTTTAGCACATGTTGTAGTTGCCCAACAGTTCTTGTATTTTCTGTTCTCTGTTCCTAGTCTTTTCATCTTTGTCGTCCATCTTTAGAAGTTTGTAGGACATATCCTCATCTCTGGGAGGCTTTCCTCATCTCGAGTGTGCTGGGTAAGGAATTCCAGGAGCTGAGCTTTTAGGGGCGTGGCAATCATAAGAGTGTGTGGGCAGTAGGTGTTCTGTCATATCAGGATTAGCTGGCTGGGTATGGTACTATATATAGCCTGTTGTCCCAGGTACTTGGGAGGCAGAAGGATTGCTTGAACCCAGGAATTTGAGACAAGCCTAAGCAACATAGGGAGATCCTTCTCAAAGAATGTAAAACAACAGAACTAAATGCAGTGCCTGTGACCATGGCTGTATCAGTGGGCTTGAACTTGTCTCTGGTTTTCCCTCACTTGGCCGTGACAGGCCAGCTCTGGGAATCTGGTTGCAGGGATGTTTCCTTTTCTCAGTTTGTCAAGGCTCTAATGCAACTCCAGCAAAATGGCAGCTTGTTGAAAAGAATAGAATGAGGTCAAGGGTGTGCTTGGTGGGTGAGCTTGTGCAGTGCTGGGACATCCCTGGCACCCCAGAAACAGCAAAACAAAAACCAGGGTGCACTAGTTATAGTCCACACTGGTCATAGGCCTCTTCCTCTTAGAAGCATTCCATGATTTTCTGTCTTTCCTGTGAGGTCATAGCAGAGCTCACAAAGTTAGACTTGCCAAAGTGCTTGGGGATTTTTTTCCATGCACATTTGTCCACACTAAGTTTTGCACACATATAGCCTGATCAGGATGCAGAACTGGCCCTTCTTGAGTAGGTCAAATAACACAGGTCAGTGAGCTGGAGAAAGCAGGGCAGAGATTCTGGAATGTATTGTGTACTGTGCCCAGCATAAGGGCAGAAGCCTCAGGTTCAGGCTGATCTAGCAACTGCCAAGTTTTAGTGTGGGGGTTCTGTGAGAATGTGAGAGGCCCAAGAGAGGAGTAGCTGCCAGACCAAGTTTTGGAAGGAGCCTTGGTTGCCAGAGTTCTGAGAAAGTGACAACAGTCAAACCATTTGTGGAGAGTGTTCAGATGGTAGCCAGGCTGACCAAGGAGGCTCAGGATGACTGAGGAGGCTACTGTGATGGCGGTCAGTCTGTAAGGGTTGGTCCCGTGACTGCTAGTGCTAGTCCCATGGTTATCAGGTTGACCATGGAGGCAAGTCTGGTTGTGGTCAAGGCTGGTCTGATGATGGTTAGAATGACCATGGTAGCTCATGTCTGGGCAGCAAGTTCAGCAGGAGACGAGGGAGGGGTTCATGTGTGCAGCAGCTGTGGATGTTGGTGCTGAGGGATTTCTCTGCAGGAGTTCACAGTCAACCAAGGCTTGGTGCAAGGTGTCCAGGATGGCCAAGGTGTCACATATACCTTCTGGGGAGAAACAAAAGGGTAGATTTCATTATCTGGTTCACAGAGTCTTCCATGTTGTTTGCCTACCACTTGCCCCATACCACTGCCCAGCCATATCCTTTATGCTCCTTTTTAATACCTAGACTAGTGTTTCTCAACTGGTGGGTCACAACCCCTGGGGTTAAACAACCTTTTACAGGGGTCATGTATCATATGTCCTGCATATTAGATATTTACATTATGATTCATAACAGTAACAAAATTATAGTTATGAAGTAGCAATGAAACAATTTTATGGTTTAATAGGTCCAATAGGACCTGTATTAAAGGGTCACAGGGTTAGGAAAGTTTAGAACCACTGTACTTGATACTTCCATCTCAATTGATAATAGACTGTTTTAAGATCATGCCAGCATGAGAAGGACTAGCTGTCCATCTCCCTGCGAGGCCCTGTGATGCGAGGTCAGCTTCAGGGAACACAGCTTTGCTGAGCAGCAGAGGCTACAGGGCCTGGAGCTTTAGGCAAATCCCAGGCACTTGGCTGGCTAGTTCTTGACTGTGATGGGGTAACTCCTTTCTGATAGGTCAGCTGTCAGAGCTGGAGGATTTAAAGCACAGAGGCACCATGGGCCTCAGGGCTGGCCCATAGTGGCTCAGTGAGCAGTGCAGTCTGACTTGCCAGCAGGCAACACCACCCTTCTCTGCTGTTTCCATGTCTGCTTCTAGCTGTCATAGCTGCCTGGAGCCTCTGCAGCTCAGTTCTGCTCTGAAGTCTGCTTGGACTATGGCCTGTAGCATTCGGGGTGGGAACAGAGTAGCCGTTCTGCAGACCAGGGCTTAGAACAATGCTAGAGTTTTGGTTCAGATGCCCTACAGCTGCCATCCAATCTCTACAAGGCACCCTTGCCTACCCTGTGAGGGATTCCGGTCCAGGGCATTCAGCAAAATCTTCCCCAAGGCTCTTTTTGATATGTTCTTCAAGAGAGATGAAGAGAGGCTTGATCAGATTGTGTCCTATCCAGAGGGTGGTGTGTAGAGACTCCTGGAAACGTCCATGAAGCTCCTTGGGGCTGGTCCCACATCCTTCTCCATGTTCCTCTCTATGACCTGCTGTCCCCATCCTCTGCTCCTTCCCCTATCCTCCCTCCCTGTCCCCATCTTCCCTTCCTGCCCCATCCTCCTTTCTTGTCCTTCCCGTCCTTCTTTGTCTGCCCGGATATATGATACTGGACTAGACCTGGGCCACCCATATTCCTGGCAGCCTGATGAATAGCAAGGGTGAACTCTCAGAGGTTCACCTGTCTCTGCCTCCCAAGTGCTGGAATTAAAAGTGTGTGCCATCCATACCTGGCTAATCTAAAAAAATTTTTTGAGCCTGGTGGTGGTGGTGCACACCTTTAATCCTGGTACTTGGGAGACAGCAGCAGGTGGATCTCTTCGAGTTTGAGGCAAGCCTGATCTACAAAGTTCATCCCAGGACAGCCAGGGATGTTACATCCTGTCTAAAACAAACAAACAAACAAACAAAAACAACCTAAACAATTTTTTTGAGGTGGAATATGCCAGGCTGGACTCAAACTTGTGACAATTCTCCTGCCTAAGCCTCTCCAGTGCTGAGGTCACAGACACCACTGTGCCATCTGCTAGTCTTTAATAATTTGTAGCCATGTTTATTTTTTAGATGATTTTGTTTAATTTTATGTGTATGGTGTTTTACCTCCATGTATGAATGTGTTCCATGTGTGTACTGGGTGACAGCAGAGGACACAAGGTGTTGGATCCCTTGGGACTGGAGGTACAGTCCGTTGTGAGCTGCCATGTGGGTGTCGAGATGAACCCTGGCCCTCTTTGAGAGCAGTGGATACACTGTTGTTTTTGCTTGTTGAAGATAAAGTCTCTATATAGTCCTGGCTGCCCTGAAACCCGCACTGGGTGTTCTTAGCCACCAAGCCATCTCCCCAGCCGTGCAGCCATGTTTAAAAGAGATGTTAGTTTAAATTCTTTCTTGGTTATCCTCCTTTGGTCTATAAAAATTAAAGTGGTGGTGCAGACCTTTAATCCCAGCACTCAGGAGGCAGAGGCAGGTGGATCTCTGTGAGTTCGAGGCCAGCCTGGTCTACAGAGCGAGTTCCAGGACAGGCTCCAAACCTGTGAACCCAGTGAATCAAAGCCAGCTCTGGGCTTTGATTACAGTTATATCAGACTCCTCAAATGATCTGAAATATCCTCTCCTCTCTGGGCGGCTTCTCTGAGCCACCGTTCTGTATCTGTCAATGGAGGAGCACCTATTGACTAGAGAACCAGAGCCCTGGCCTGCCTGCCATACAGGCTCCTCGCAGCCTCTCAGCCTCCCAGCCTCCCCAACTCCCCACTGTGTCACCCTTAGACCCCCTATAGACTGTCCTGGGTCCTCACCGTCACCTTCCTCTGGATCCCCTAGCTCACCTCCAGCCCCTCCCCTCCCCTCCAGGATCCCCCTCAGGTCCCCACCAGGTCCCGGAGTCTCTGCAGGAGTTGTAGCACGTCCACCAGCTTCTCCTCCAGCAGCGAGAGTCGTACCCGCTCTGTCTCCACCATCTGCAGCTCCAGCCTCAGATGCTCAGCCTCCATCTGCTGCAGTTCTGCCTGCGGAAAAGGACCTGGTGCATTCCCTACTCTCCCTTCCCCACGATGGGTGTTCATAGCTCCCTAGCAAGGTGGCTGGCCTCCCTGATACATTCAGGGATCACCTAGTCTGGCCTCCTGCGTGTAAGGTACTGTGCAGACAAACCACCCTGAGGCCAGAGAAGCTAAGTGCCTGCCCCAAACCACACAGTGAGCAGGGTTTCAAGAAGACACACACCGTTCTCTAATCTAAGGACTCATTCTCTTTTCTCTTCTACCTTTTGGTTTCTTTTCTTTTTGGTGGAGCTGTGTTGTTGGCCACATGACTGGCTTACACAGGAGGAACACACTGCAAGCTAGTGGATAGTTCCCACCCCGTCTTGTCCAGGGTCCCTGACTGTAAGGACGTTCTGGGTATCTGTCCACCTTTCTGCAGCAGTGTGACCAGGAGCACTACCACACCAGTATCCCAGGTTGACAACAGAGGAAATGTCTGGCGCTCACCCCCAGGTCAGCTTTGTCATGTGACAGGCACTTCTTGGTACCAGGATGCTCAGGATTCCCTCTGGCTTTGGGCAGGAGGACAAAAGACTCCGTGCTTCTACCCACTGCAGGCAGGGTTAGAGGCTGGCCTGTTCTGGAGCTTCCTGCTCTGTCACTTTGAAGTTTATTTAGAAAAGTGACAGCAGTGTCTTTCCTTTGGTGCTCCCTGATTGCCAGTTCACACTTCACATCTAACAATGGCCCTTCCCTGAGGACAGCTTCTCTCTCCTGGGGAGATCCTGGGTATCAGGAACAGGGTCTCAGGGAATAGCATCAGGGTGGGAATATAGACATAGCCCAAAACATAGCAGATTAACCTAGAATCCTGGGGGGGGGGTCTTCACCAGACATCAATGATCAGAGCTGAGCTGTCAAGAGCTTACTACCTACATCTACTCACTTGACACATGCATAGTGGCATTGTTACAAACGTGGAAACCCCAAGGCACAGAGATGCTGAAGCACCCTAACAAGGTCACACAGGTATCAGAGTTGGCACCAAAGTCAGGAAGCTCGCTCTAGCATATGTGGAGCCCTGCTCTGACGCAAGGCTTTTCACTGCTCGGGGCTTAGCATCCACCTTGGGGCCCAGAGTACAGGGTGGAGATCTCTAGGGCAGAGTTCTACATTGTCAGGGAGACCTGGCTGTCGTGTGTATTTGAAGAAGTCAGGGGTGACTTCCCCAGTGGGCCTGGAGTGCTAGTTTATCTACCTTAATCCTTACCCAAACACATGACCCATAGGAAGCTGGGGTTTCCTGTTACCCATCTGTTCTTCCTCACAGGGACATGGCTAGCCCTTCTATGTGCATTAGACACTCACTGCTCAATGGGCCGTCATATTACCTGGTTCTAGAATCACAAATAGAGATGTTTACATTATTAAAACTCTATCCTGGATGATCCCTAGATTTTCCAGTCTGTGATTCAGGGCTGAGGTTTCAGAGAGACACAGCAGGTGACAACCATGTTTACACCTCTGGACAGCTATGCCTGCAGCCCATGCCACTGTCTCCTCAGTTCTTGTAAGCTTCTGCTTTGTAACCAAGCTAATCTGGTATGGGATTCTGTAACTGTCAATTAAAAGTTCTCATCAAGTGAAATGAGAGGAAACACCCCTCTCACAGCTCTGCGAGTGGGCTGTAGGACCGCAAGTCCCTCCAGCTGTAAGTCCTGGGATCTTAGGGCCCTGCTGACCTCCTCCTCCGGGGTTCCCAGTGTTTTTCCACTGCAGCCCAGGGTCTGCAGCTGCTCCCCAAGCTTTGTGACACAGGTCTCCAGCTCTAGGGTGCAGATGTGGTCAGCACCATGACAGTGGCCAAAAGAAGTCTTGAGCATCTCAGCTGTCTGCTCATCACACCTGCAGAGAGGAGAAGCCGGAACTGCAGGGACCTGCTGTTCCTGTGTTCCAGCCTTTGCAAGCAGATGTTGTAAAGGATCCTGTCTGCTCAGCATCGTCTTGGGGCTCCTTTGCTTCTCAGAGGGACTGCTGGAGGAGTCCCCTACTACCTGGCTCACACCCTCCTACCCACCTCACTCAGCCTGCCTCAGCCCATGGACTCCCAAGGCCCTCCAGCATGCCCGAGCTTCTGCTTGCTGCTCCTTTCTGGACCCTTCTTACACCATCTACATCACTTGACAGAACTGCCTTCTGATTCTCCTCATACCTTCCCCTGTCTTCAAGTATTCCCTAAAGCAGAGGGCCCATGGCAGTCATCTGTTTATTATTTTGCCTGGCACACAAGCAGGTGCTTAACAAGTGCTTTGTATGAACATGAAGAATGGATGATACAGTCACCCCTGAAAGCCACATGTTGTCCCTGAAGACATGTGATATCCTGACCTCATGTCCTCGGAAACAGTGTTACAGACCCACTTTTAAGACAAGAAGACCGAGGCCCAGAAAAGCCAGGCAATTTGAGGTATCCATGGGTATGGAGCTCGTTTTTATTATCTTCTAAGATGGTACAAAGGCAAAGCCCATGTGTAGGTGAGAAAGAACCAGCCAGGGCCAGGATGGGGCTTTGAACTGTATTGTAGGAAGTGACAGGAGTGGAACAGGTCTTGGCGTAGTGGTCAAGAGAGTGATGGCTGGTGGGAACTGAGTTTGTCCACAGGCTATGCTCTTAAGGGTCTTCTCATTCCATCCTTGTTCTTGTCCCACATTTGAGCTGTGACTCCCAACGGGGTTGTCAGGCGCCAAGTATGGCTGTGCCCTGAAACTGTCAGCATCTCACGTTGAAGCATGTGTGAAGGGCCCTGCAAGGTGAAGCTGCCTTCCTGGGGGTTCTATGCTTTTGGTCTCCACTGCCAGGGCAGGGATAACCAGCCACTTACCCACTCACACAGCCCGAGGGCTGTACCAGAGGTACCTCGACATGGGCCTCTGGGGGCCTTGACTTTTCCCTCCACCTGTCTTCTTCTTCCTCAGAGGCGGCCTGGCCTTCCACGGAGCGGAACAGCTGCTCTTCCTCTGCTGGGGAAACATATTATCTAGGAACTGGAGGCTCAACGTGAGGACCATTGGCCCTCCTCAGGAACGTGTAAAGGGAGGCACTGGTGACACTGTCCTCTTCCCATTACTAGCTCAGGGCCCTGGGAATTGCAAGGGAGTCCCTGAGATACAGCCCCACTGTCTTGTGTCCTAGGATGACGTGTGAGGATGCATCGTTGGTTTCAGGGCTGAGAGCATCAGTTCCATTTCAGGCCAAGTGACCTGGATTAGGGAACTGGATAAGGGCTTTGCAGGATGTTAGTATCAGGACAGAAAGACTCCCAGTTCTCCAATATGTGGCCCATGATCCCCAACAGCTTTGATGAACTCCATCCTGACTAGAGTGGGTGATGACAGCTGCCCTGTCCTATTGTCCAGCCAAAACCCTTTTCCTCAGGAGCAGATCAAAGTCTCCTAGAGAGCCTGACCCTGTTCTACACCAGCTCTGGGCATCTGTCAGGCTGTGCCAATAAGAGGTGGTCCTCTCTAGCCACAGTGAAGGTTCTGGAAGTGCTGGGAACCCTCAAAAGACAACATGGGAGTCAGTGAGTGTTTGTGCAAAGTGAACTCAGATGAAGACTGAGCCCCCAGTTCTGGGCTAGAGCCAGGGAGAGTACTCCTGCCGAGAGTGAGAGTGAGTGATCTCAGGATGGGGTGGGGGCAGGCATTAGAGGCTCTTCTGAGAGCCCATGATTTCCTTTAGCCTAGCAGTTTGTGCTGACTGGTGTGACACTTTCAGACTTCTCTGCTTGAAGCAACATTTAAAACCAAAACGATACCTTACCTCATGGGAAGCTTGTTGACATCTATTGCCCTTTCCTGGCTTCACCCATGGGTTCTCAGGGCTCCACTGCAAAGACTTTTCATAGCACTATTCCTAATATTGACAGCATATATCCCTCCCTTGATTCCTCCCGTCATTCATCTGCATTGTTCTGGTGCTGGAGGCAGGGGTAGCTGGAAGGGCTCTGAGCCTGGGAGTGGGGGATGGAGACCCAGTCCCTGGCACACTGTAGAGGTGAGCTGCCTGGATACCCTAGGTTCGGGCACTTGTGAAGACACCAGAAAACAGGCCTTTCAGGGTGCTGGAAGCCAGCTTGAGTAGCAGAGTGGGGTTTTGTCTGGAGGCTGAAGGTGGCACTGATGCTTCAGCCCTTGAGAGCAGGAATGAGGCAAGGCCTCATTGACCATGGGCCTGGCAGCAGGCTGGGCACCTGGGAACTGACCTTCATCTGTGTCTCTGCTCCTTAAGCTGGCATCTGGCTGCTGGGCTCCCCCTGGGCTGGTGTCACCACCTCTGACTCCTCTAGTCATAGGATCGACATTCTTGTCTCCTGGGTGCACACTGGCTTGTGAGGGGTTTAGGAGCTGAGGTCCCTCTGACCTGTGGGTAGGGGAGAGATATGTTTTGAGAGGTGAGGCCACCCTCTTCCATTTCTTACTCTGCACAGGTAAGCCACCCATGGTCTACCACCATTGTCCTGCCAAAGTCAGGCTCCCATAGACCAGAAAGAATGTTAAGATATGTTTCAGTTTAATTTGCCAATAGGGAACAGACATGAAACCCACTTTTAGGCAATGGGATGCAAAGCAAAATCTGCAGACACTAAGAGGCAGGTTTCCATCCGTATAACAAGAATCATGAGAAGGGAAATGTCCTTTCTGCTTTTGGATACAGTCACGTGGTGATGCTGTAGTTGGGGTTGCAGCAGTCATATTGTAACCATGAACAGCTATCTGAGAGAGCTGCACAGTATCTGGGTAAAAGCCCCAACATCTTTAGAGGCTGAGCTAGCCAGTCCTGCAGCCAGCTAATTCTGCACTTAATATAGTAGGCATGTAAGAAAAGGTTTATTTTTATTTTATGTGTATGAATGTTTTACCTGCATATGTCTGTGTACCACATGTGTGCCTGGTGCCCATGGAAGCCAGAAGCAAGTGTAGGAACCCCTGGAACTGGAGTTACAAATGGTTGTGAGGCACCATATGGTTGCTGTGAATCAAACCTAGGTCCTCTGCAAGAACCAAGAGTGCTCCTAACTGTTGCTCTATCTCTCTAGTCTTGGTGGGATGATTTTTTTTAAAAAACTAATTTATTTTATATATATGGTTGCTTTGCCTGAATGTATGTCTATGCAGTACACATGCGTATGGAGGCCAGGCGAGGGTGTCAGTTGGATCCATTGGGACTGAAGTTACAGATGGTTGTGAGAACCATGCAGAAACTGGGAATTGAGCCTGTTTCCTTTGGGAGAGCAGCCAGTGCTTTTCATGGCTGAGCTATCTCCCCAGCCCTGTGTGAAATTTTCAAAAGTTTACATGTTTCACTTAATTTTTTTTAAAAAAGAGACAGAGTCTCACTATTGTTGTCCATGTTGGGATTACAGACATATACCACCATGCCTGGCTAGATTCACAGACTCTTCTTTCCATCAGATTTTCACATACTTTTAATTACATTCTATAGATGTTTTGGCCATAAAAGCCTTTAACTGAGGAATCAATTTCTCTTCCCTGGGATTTGGAAAACCCACTTCATTCCCCATCAGTCTCCTTGATACTCCAAAGTCCCTGTGTTTTGAACAGTTGTTTTCCACGTCCCTGCAGTTTACAAGGTCAGATAATAGAGAAAAAAATGACATAAAATGAACATATTTATTTACTGGCTGTCCTGGGACTCACTTTGTAGACCAGACTAGCTTCAAACTCACAATGATACCCCCCCCCCCCCCCCCCCCCCGTCTCTGCCTCCCAGGTGCTGGGATCAAAGGTATGCATCACCACCACCACTCTTGCTTTCTAGTCAGGGTTTCTACTGCTGTGATAAAACATTGACCAAAGACAACTTGGGGAGGAGAATGCTTATTTCATCTTATAGCTTGTAATCTATCATCTAGGGATGTCAGGACAGGAACACAAAGCAGGAACCTGGAGGCAGAAGCTGATAGAAACTATGAGGGGTGCTGCTTACTGGCTTGCTCCTCATGGCTTGTTCAGTCTGTTTTCTTTACCGCCCAGGACCACGCCCAGAGGGGACACCACACATGAAGGATTGGGTCCTCCCACATTAATCACTAAATAAGAACACGCAGCACAGGCTTGCAACATTTTCCCAGTTGAGGATCCCTCTTTCTAAATGACTCTGACTTAAGTCAAGTTGACATAAAACTAGCTACCCTCACCCCCAACAAAACTTCATCCCCTTACAGTTCCATACTCTCCCCAGAAATCTCAGGGCTAAGTGTCCAAATATTTCACATTTCAACCATAGCAATAAGTAAAGTCATTGTCCCATTTCACAGAGAAGGAAATGGAGACAGAGAATTAGAACAATCTGTCTACCTCAGAAATAGAAGACCCTTGAACTTCTCCAGACCCTTTTCCAGGGAAGGGAAGGTCTGGAGTGATACAGTATAGCCACTGTCAGCTTTGGGGACTACAGGTCACATACATGGATTTGGGGCATGACCTGAGAGGCAGGTCATGGTGAGGGAGTAAAGGCTAGGAAAAAACTTCAGAATTTTCCAAGAACCTTAGGTTGGCCTCAGAGGCAGAACCCTTTTCTGAGGGTCCCATGTAACTTTTGTCTGCTAACTGGGATTTAAGTGAGTACTCTATGGGTAACACAGCTGCAGACATGCTTATTAAGTCACCAGGAGACATATTATACATCCTTCCCTGGCTGTGTTCTCTAGGGGAACCCTGACTTCACCAGGTACCATTCTCTTTTGGATTCTTCAGTAGAGTGAGGGTGTTTCTGGGAGATGTCAGGATGTTGGTGGCCAGGAAGGCCTTGCTAGTGTCTTGATGGTCCTGGAGAAATGAACTCTGGTGACTACCACTCTTCCTCAGACCCAGGTCTTCTGTGTGCCTGGGTGTTCCCTCCAGCTGGTCACATCCACACCCTCCTGGAGCACCACTGAGCCTCTGATAGCTTCCATATTGCAGTCCATGGCTACATCTGGCTGCCAACCCAGGGGCTGAAACAGTCTGACAGGAGCCAGATGTTGCATTTCCTCCCTTCCATCCTCGTTCTGTGATGCCAAGAGGCCCCAGAAGCTGCCACTACCCTACAGGAGACTATGGCTTTGCTGTGTGACCTCTACTGCTCCATCACCCCCCTCTGAGTAGCCTCATTTCATTTCCTGGCTTGTTCACCAGTGAGCAATGGTGGGCTCCACTCTGGGTTGGACACTGAGGGCCCTATGACGATGAAATGAAGTAATAGAGAACCTGCTTTCACTGACATTTGGGGTGAGTTTAGGGGACACCTAGATGAACAGGGAGCTGTATATCCAGCTATGCATTTACTTCAATGTCTCTGAAAAACAGTAAGCACATTAATTTCATATATCTTATTATCTTTTAAAATGTACGATAGTGGTATGATGTGACTTCCTTTAAAATTATTTAAGTTGAATTGGAGGTATAAGCCAGAGATAGATTTTGTCTAGTATGTGTGAGCATTTGGGTTCTATGTTAGCTCTGCAGAGAGAGAGAGAGAAAGAGAGAGAGAGAGAGAGAACAAAGTAAAAGGAGGGAACCAACTTAAGGGAAAATGTTAATAATATCAGGCACTCCATACATGTGGCAAACAGGGCTTGGGTCTTGGGAGAGTCTGGGGGGTTAGCAAATGCTCAACTACTAGTAACAAGCAGTTTGGGGCATCATTAGAGCAGGGCTCTTCCCAGGAAGACTTTTTTTGCACGGAGAGCCGAGTATCTTTCAGACTAAGTCTGAAGCCACAATGCTGCTAGGTGTACATCTGGAATGTTCCCTAGAGGCCCATGTGTGGAAGACTTGGTGCCAGCTTGCTGTTAACTGGGAGGTGATGGAGACTTTTAGGAGGTAGGGCATTATGGGATAAAGCAATTCAGGGTGTTCCTGGGGGTGGCATTATTGGGTTCCCATCTGTAAGGAGTATGGTTTTTCCGCCCACTGCCTGGTCTTGTCCTGCCGCCGAGCCAGCCCCAATTAACACACCGAGACTCTGTATTAGATACAATTCTGTTTCTTATCGGCTAGCTCTGTCTTAATTATTAACCCATTTCTATGTATTTCCACGTGGTCTCCTTACCGGGGAATGGGCATCTCCCATCGCCCATCTCTTCCTTTTTTCTTTGCTTCCTGGTCTCCTCCTACCCACAGGCAAAGTTACAAATCCATTTCTTTAGCCACCCAACCATACTGGCCAACATGGCTCTGGTACCATTTTTTTTTTTTTTTTTTAGTACAGAGAGAAAGAGGAATCTTCTAGCTCATGTCAGGGCAGCACAGTCCAGTCATGGATGTGGCTCGAAAACAAAGGCTAAAAGATAAGTTTCTTACCACAGGCCCCAAACAGCATGGCTAACCAACCAAGAACATGGACAACTATAGCCATGAGCCAAATACCTATCCCCCATCTTCTGTGCTTGGGTTTAGACAGAAGGACTCACATATGCTAAACCCATGCTCTACACCCAGTTCAGCCCCAACCCCAATTGCTTCTTAGGTACTTTGTTATCATGACAGAAGGTTGACTAACTCAGATATTATAGAGCATTTCTCTGCTTTCTCAAAGCAATCTGGATAAATAGCCCACTTTTTATTTTGAAAGATTAATGACATAATATTCTAACAGTAACTTAAATGGGATGAAAGATTTTATACTCAGATATAATGAAGTTTTCAGATACTATACATAATGAGTGAGTCTAAATTGGAAAGAGTCAGGGTAATATTTACTTGGATATTGTTGGCATCCTTCATATATCTAACAGTTTGAAGCACAGGCTAAGAGAATATATTCAGATAGAAAGGCAGGCAGGTAGACACACAGACTCACAGAGACATAAGTGTCAGAAGTTACAGTGTCCCTCTGCAGCAAGGGTGCAGCTTCCACCATCTGTGATGTGGTTGGGAAATGATGAGCAACTCTTGGGGAATTCCAAACAAAACAAACAGCCTCATGTTCTTGGAAAATTCTTTGCATATTATAACTGCAGAAAATTGTTCACTCATCATGTAGAGTTCAACTCTGATCTTAGATCATTCTATGGAAGTGTTTCACACACCACTGGCCAGCTGGCCATGCAGAAGCTTCGGGGTACAGGGGCTCATTTTCCTGTCAGGACCTCGGGTGTGAGAAGCCCTGTGTCTAGTCATTCTCCTACAAGCCTCCAAAGTGTCCTTGAGGAGACAGACAGCCTCCCCTTGTTCCTGATTGTTCCCTGATCTTGGCCTTGTGTCATCCTGGCCAGCCTATTCCATGTTGGTGACATTTTGTGGACAGGCGCAAGGTACTGGTCAGCTGTAAGGCTATGTCTGTGCCCTAGGAGGATCCTGTCTTTTCCTCTATGTTCCCTCATGGTGGTGGTTTTCGCTGTGGGTCAGTCCTGAGAC